AAAAAAAGCATGTTGAATTGCACTAACTGAAAAAAATAATGCATTGCATTAACAGTGCTTGCATTTTTATGACTTGCATTTTTAGGGGCTGAAATAGTTGTTTATTTAAGCTGTCAATATTTCAATTCAAAACATTTAACATTTTCATAATTAAAAATTCAATAATTCATATTCACCTTCCAGAGTTCACTTCCAAAATATTCAATCTGTTTAAAAATACGATGTATAATATTCAACAGGCAATTTTCAGTCCATTTTACTTCACTTTACAAATTCGCTTCCACTAATTCAGTGGTTCAAATTCAGCAGAAAATTCGCCATTGCACATCCGGGAGCTGCAGGAATAGCAGTAGAGTACCGATGCATGCTCTCCATCTGCTGTTAGTCGCTCACCAGCAGGTGGCGCAAGACCAAAGCAACAGGTAGAGCAAGTCATTCATTCACAAAAACTGATCTGCAGAAATGGAGCAAGCGGTAAGTAGAAGTTATGATTATCAGGGCCAGTATGTATTTGCTGACAACAACTCTGTCACCCAACGACTCTACACGGTCCCCAAACCACGTTCTGTCAAGAAAACGCACGCGAGAAGTGGAACGGCAATGACGCAAAACAACAAGTGAAACAGGAGTTGTATATTTGAAAATAGACATCAGGAAGAAATAAGTGCTGCAAGTTGTTTGCGTGATGATCTGTTATGAAAAATTTCGCTCCATTTGTTGTGTCCAAACTTTTCTTAAAGGGGTCATATGATGCGATTTCAAGTTTTCCTTTCTCTTTGGAGTGTTACAAGCTGATTGTGTATAGATAAGATCCCTGAAGTTGCAAAGACTAAAGTCTCAAAACCAAAGAGATATTCTTTATCAAAGTTAAGACTCTGCCACGCCCCCCTAAAACGGCTCGTTCTAACACACCCCACATATCTACCTCACTATGTGGAAACATTTGCATAATGCCACCCAAATGTGCACGCAAAGAAAGAAGGCGTGGTTTCAAGTAACCGCAGTTAGTGTTGAAGCAGCCATGTCAGGGAGACGCTGTGTATTTCTAGGCGAAAGCAAAAGCACAGGACACATCACAAAGACATACCAGCTTCATCATTGTGTCTGTCACGCGACTCTGTTCCCCTTTCGGGCTCTGTCTTTACATTTATTTTGAAAGATGAAGCTCGCGATTATGGTAAGGGGCGTTACATTTCCGACGCGTGCTTGCAGACTGCGCTTGTCGGAAGGCGGGACTTTGTTGAAAACGAAGTGTTTGTGAGAGGCGGGGCATAGAGGACCTACAATAATGTACAGTATTTGAAAAAGAATGTGTTTTTTGAACATTAAAGCATGTCAACATATTCTGTTACACCAAATACACAAAATAATGATCTTTAAAAAAGCATCATATGACCCCTTTAAAGTCATGTTGCTGCTGCTGTTTTTCTTCCGCTGACCTCAACCCATGCCTTGCTCTCATTGGCTGTAGCTCGTCAAGACACCCGACACCACGTGATGTCGAGTCAGCCGACCGGTCCAGATATTTAGCATGCTAGATATTTGTTTGGTGTCGGCGACGAGTCAGCGAGCCTCTTTGATGCCTCGTTGAGTAGTTCACACATAAAGATTGCAGATTGCATTTTCCCCCGATCACAACCCGGCCAGTTAGCGAGCTTGTTAACTTGCAAATCAGGCTTAAATCTGGCTTTAAATCCTGTAGTGTGAACTAGGCATAAGGGAATAAATACTTATGCAAAATTATTTCCTTTTTAATAAATTTGCAAAGTTGTCACAAATCTGTTTTTTGCTATGTCATTATGGTGTATGGAGAGTAGATTGATGGAAAAAAGCAATTTAAAGCAGTTGAACTTAAGGCAGCAATATAACAAAATGTGAATAAAATTAATACTTTCGCAAGGCACTTTATATAACATTGCAATAATTTAAATATAGAATTAAAAGACCTTGTTTTCAATTTAAATATAATTCAAAATGGAATTTATTCCTGTGGTGCAAAGCTGAATTTTCAGCATATCAGAATGTTTTAGAATAATAATATTATTTCACAATATTACTGTTTTTACTTTATCTTTGATCAAATAGGTCAGTGGTTCTCAATTCCAGTCCTGGCGACCCCCCATTCTGCATATTTTGCATGTCTCTCTTATTTAACACACCTGATTCAGATCATCAGCTCGTTAGAAGAGAGCTCCATGCATGAACTGTTTTCCAATTGACAGGGTCCCTACACAGTGATCATTACTCCCTACTCCCTGTACACGGGATATCTTTACTTCACTATGGAACATTCATTCACAAATTTGCGCCACACCACTGCCTGCAGAGTCATCACACACAGACGAGAGAAGTGGGACATCATAAACCTCTGTAAATAAATACAATTTAAATTCACGTCTTTAATGCCCTTTGAATGGAACATATTCCCTCCCTTCGAACTGGAATCATGGCAGAAAATCTTGTGAAGTCCACTTCGCAGGGCACTTACGGTCGAATAGAACAAGCGTTTGAAGTGATCAGAGATACATACAAAATGTGCAGAGCAGGGGGTTGCGAGAACTGGAATTGAGAACAACTGAAACAGGTAACACTCTAGAATAGGGAACACATATTCAATATTAGCAAAGAGTTTTCCCTGAACAAACTCCTAATTTGCTGCTTATTAATAGTTAAAAAGGTAGTTGTTAAGTTTAGGTATGGGTAGGATTAAGGGATCTAAAATATAGTCATGCAGAATAAGGCATTAATATGTGCTTTATAAGTACTAATAAACAGCTAATATGCTAGTAATATGCATGCTAATAATAAGCAACTAGTTCATAATAAGAACTGGTCCTTAAAATAAAGTGTTACCATCAAATATATGTATATGTGTGAAACTTTATGTGTGTTCAATTGCTCCCTTAATAATAAATGAAAAGTAAAACAAACAGTTAAAATAAAATACTAATAAAAATGAAGAGTGTAGGCGCATCCCAATTCACATACTTATGCACTGTTCTATGATGTTTTGTAGTGTAAATAGTGCGAGTAGAGTGTTCACACTGAAAATTCCAAGAAGAAAAAGTGCTCTTTAAATACCCGGATGATGCACTTACATAACTGAAAAAATTAATTGTGGAATGTTGGACACTTCATGCACTCAACTGTCGCAGCTTTAATTACGTATCAAAGGGGGAGGGGCTATCAGACTCGATTATGAATGACAAAATAACCTTATATAATTCATACACTACATGGTTGAATATAAAGTGCGTAAGTGCATAGTGTTCAAGTGTATAGTGCATCATTTGGGATGCACCTTGTGTGTTAAGGAGTATGTATCCGCACACACACCTGTTTGAACTGGATCATGATGTCTTTGGAGAGCTCCATGTCTTTGAACATCCCCTCTAGCTTACTGGTGAACGCTGCTCCACACTCTACAACACACACACACACACGTCTGGTTAACTATCCTTGTAGGGACTCTCCATAGGCGTAATGGTTTTTATACTGTACAAACTGTATTTTCTATCGCCCTACACCAACCCTACACCTAAACCTAACCCTCACAGAAAACTTTCTGCATTTTTACAATCTCAAAAAAACTAATTCTGTATGATTTATAAGCTTTTGTACCCATGGGGACCTCAATTTAGGTCCCCACGGTGACACAAGTCCCCATAAGTTGGTGTGTATTCAGGTTTAAGTCTCCACCAGTGTAGAAAAACCTGTACACACACACACACGTCACTTCACAGACCAAATATCGCTGATACCACAGACACTGATGTGCAGAAATGACAAATGAATGCCGTGTGAAGCTACAGTGAGTCATTTCTGCTCCACTGGAAGAATCAATCAGAATCAAAGACCGTTTATTTAAGCAGTTGATCAAATCAAACAATGAGGAGAGTTTGGGGCGGAACTACCGGATTGCAAATTTAGTATTAATTATTTACTATTAATACTTTGAATTTGCTTTTAATTTTAGACTTTTACTTTGACATTTTAATTTGAGTTCATTTTAATAGTAGTTTCAGTCATTTTGTTACGTGTTTTTGTCATTTTTATAAGTTTTATATACTTTTTTATATTTCTATTATTTGCAAAATGATAAGATGGAATGTTCCCTTAACATTTGCATAACCAAGAAAAAACACTTTTAAAACATTGTGAAAACTGGACATTTTGCACATTCAGAAATAACATTTTCATAACTAAGTTGGAACGTTAGCAGTTCTTACAACATATTTTGTTAGCTGGGGTGCTACAAACTATTTATTTATCAGTTTTAGTACCTAAACTTAAAGGCAGAGTAAGTGATTTTTCAAAAACACTTTAGAAAACTGATTCGGGCCGAATCGCAAAACAAACTTGTAGCCAATCAGCAATAAGGGGCGTGTCTACTCGTGATGTGGAGGAGAGCGCGTTCAGTGCATGGAACGGACATTAGCCGAGCCGAGCGACAGAAAGATAGAGATGGCGGATAAATATCGGATCAGCTTTCCAGCGCTGGAGAGAACTCAAGGAGCGGAGGCCTGCGATCGGACGCCGAGGTTGCTTTGTTTCTTCTCAATAGGTGCGTAACACCGTGTCTACAACAGCTAAAGTCTGCCTACACTGGACCGGATCAAACGACCGTTGAAAACCATTTGAAATTTGTGTCAGCACGTCATAAATAGAACCCGGCAGCAGTTTTCTGTCGGGATTTGTTGCGCCGCGCCGCTCACGTCCGTAGACACAGTGTAACATTAGTTTTGCTTTGTTTCACAGAACTAATCGTGGCCTGGGTTGCGTACGTATATGTGGGGCGGAGCTATCAAAATAGGGGCGAGACCCTTTTGGGGTAGGGGCGTGTTTGTTTTGGTGATTTCAAATATCAACATTGGCTACCAGAAATCACTTACTCTGCCTTTAAAAAGTAACTAAAAATTAACGAAGTTTCTTATCTAATGTTTATAATTTATTTCACCTTTAAGTTACTGAAAATTATTTTTTATTATTTTTAGTTTTAGCTAGTTAGTTTAACTTTTTAGTTCACAAAAGCACTGAGACAGATGGGGGAACATTTAGAAATCTGTACAATTCTGTTTTGTGACAGAAATGACACACTGCAGCTTTCAGAAGTTCACCAGTTTAACTAGTCAAAGTGAAACTAACTAGGGTTTTTACTGGATGTGTCTGATTTCACTGAAATCAAGGCAAAACAGCAACTCAACTACAGCTGCGTGGTCACTTCCTGTTCACACGATCATGTGACCTCACTGCCAAGAAACTGATCAGTGGAGTTTCCACATCAACCGTCTGACGACCAATGAGACGTCAGATTGAGAACAAACCATGTTTGAGTTTGGACAGCATGGACTTCTCAGCATCCACCGAGGCACTCTTGCCCACCAGCAGACGCTTGGCCAGATCCTTCTTATAGAAAGCCTCAAACACGTCCTTTCCTGCAGCAAACACACACGGTTCAGCTTCATTTGTGTGTGACTCTCATTTAAACTGAAGCTGGAGTCCAGATTACCGTGGATGAACCGGAAGATGATCATGATCTTGTCCAGAATCCTCTCCAGCTCCTCCTCTGTGGCCTCCTTATTTCCAGCGCGCAGTTTAGAATCCACATACTTAGCTGAGGAGACACAGTTAGTACACTTACACCAGATCATCAAAGAATCCTGAAACATAAACTGTATGAAGCAGCACAACCTTTTTCAAAAAAAAAAATATATATAATAATTATATATATATATATATATATATAAACACACTGATCAGGCATAACATTACGACCATCTTCCTAACATTGTGTTGGTCCCCATTTTGCTGCCAAAACTGCCCTGACCCGTCGAGGCATGGACTCCACTAGACCGGTAGTCTGACTAGTCTGATCGGTGTATACAGTGGGTACGGAAAGTATTCAGACCCCCTTAAATTTTTCACTCTTTGTTATATTGCAGCCATTTGCTAAAATCATTTAAGTTAATTTTT